TGGGTGTTATGGATTGTTGGATCGCTCAAGAAGAAGATGAACAGTGGGGGAAAACACACGAAGGGGCGAGTGACATACTTATAACGGAAGAAGAGGCACCAAAAATTCGAATTCGAGGCGACGGCGTGTGACGGCTAGGTTGGTTGCACAAAGCCAATGAGCAGAGGACACATGTCTGTGACAAGACCGGTGTTAGTGCTGAAGAGAGGCAGAGAAGTCGAAACATCGACCGAGCAAGTGATGTAGCCGAGCAAGGGAGTTAGCACGATGAATAAGTTGAAGATAACAACTGAGTAGATTAATTATCTCAGCTGGAGAAGGTAATCCCGGTCACGCTGGCGCGAACGGAATTAAGGGGCAATTGAGAGGGAGATTTCATAAATTGGCATTGGGCCAAGCAAGTTTGGGTCGAGCTGAGTTGGGCCAAGCAAGTGGGGGTGCGCTCGGTCAAGGTCTTGGTCCAATTTAACTGAGGTAACATCGAACTGTCAGCCTGGTTAACTTTATTTGCTCATTGAGTTAGACCAGTTAGGTCTTCCGCAAATCAGTCCAACCGAGCAGGAGCTAGGTCATAACTAAGCACGGCTAAGCCGCAGTGAGATTCTTTAATGAAACCGGACAATTAGCACGGTCATGGTGTGACGACGTGGCGCCGTGCTAGGCATAGCTTGGTTTAGTGCATTGCACATCTCAGGAGTAACACGGTCGTGGAGTGATGAAGTGGCGCCGTGCTGTCTATTCGTGCCAATGCCGTTTGGCGGTTTTGTTAGGTGGTGTTTAGCTGTATTTGCGCTGACACGTGAAAAAATGGGAGAGGAGAGCAGGTCCACGAGTCCGAAGGTGAATGGACGTAGAGGCGCGCACAGAAGGTATATAAACGGTGTTGCACCCCTGTACTCAAGTCTGAAACATCTTATGATCACAACTCGCTTACCACTTTGCCTCCTCTCTTTTCTCTTTTCTCTTTTTCCTGTGTGTTAACTTGATCGTCGGAGGGTTTTCCGGCAAAGCATCACCAGGTAGCTCACCACTATTATGTTCTCAGGTCGATCAGAGTGAAGTGTAACTTGGACACGAGAAGTACGGACAGCGGCGGATATTTGCTCCCCGTACAATTCTATATACCATCCTAGATAACAAACTCAAGGCAAACACTTTAGAATCACAGATTCCATGTGCAAAATTGGGAAAATTGTTTCAATATTCTAGTGACATAAATGACTACGAGGAGCCTAAGTTTTGGTGGTTGAAAATATATAGCAACAAATGATGCCCCATAATTCTATAAAACCAACCAATCCAGAAAAACAAACACACCAATGAATTTTTTCAAATTGATGTGATTTGAAAAAAAATCTTGATTTTTTTATGTGCAAAAGATATCAATAATTTGAAGAAACAGTCACATCAATTGTTAGGAATTCACCACAAACAATTACAGATTTTGCAGAGATAATCAATTGAAGAACCCACCCAAACCCAGTGCCAGTTCAATCGTTGCTCCTCTCTTACTCGGAGCGGGTGTGAGATTTGTAGGTATTGAACCCAACCCATACTCGCAAACCCACCCTTATCCCACACTCACCCACCACTCTTACCCATAAATTGCATGAAATTGCAGTCACCCATGAAATCACAGAGCCTTGAACTTGATGAGAGAAAGAGGTCATGTAGAACATTTTTTTTTTTTTGGTCTCCCAGGGTATCCTCCGCCGACCGCGGAGACTAATCCCTTCGCTGATTGTAGGCACCTCGAAGGGTGGAACAGCTGGCCCAGAGATTTAAGGCTGCTCTATGCCCAAGGCGGGAATCGAACCCCCGACACTTGGTTAAGGGAGGAGGAGTCCTTACCACTCCACCACGCCCCCTGGGTTGTCATGTAGAGCATTGCCCCTTTGATGTTTGGCTATTTTTCTACTTACTCTTACAGTTTATTTTTTTATAGTTTGGTTGTTGCTGGCTGAACCACCACCGCTGTTGCTGCTCTGCTGATGATGATAATGGGATCACTGACGGCAAACCCACCATCACCGGCAGTGGCTCCATATTTTTCATCTCAATTCCTTCTTTTCTTCTTCTTCACGGTTGTTCACTAATTTCGCTAATTTTGATTTTTGCATTTCCCCTCATTTATAGGTGGTCTGAGTTGTTTTTTTTTTTTTTTTTAACTGTTTTTGGTCGAGCCATTTAAAAAGAAAAAAGAAAAATGTGTGTGAAATTAAATATAAATATATTTTATTCACATTGTATTTATTTTTTCTTTTCTTTTAATTTATTTAAATTTCTCTTCAAATCTCCTTAGTCGAGTAGTCTCAATTGCTATCCAACTCTCTAACATCACTATCTCTATCTAGTGTCTACACCTACATCCATCACTCCTATTACTATTAAGTGTGTTTGGTTTTAGTTTTTTAAATTTAATTTTTTTTAAATTAAGCTTTTGTTTTTCTTTTTTTTTTTGTTTTTAGTAAATATTTTTTAAATTTTAAGTAATTTTTTTTAAAGATACTTTACTTAGATGTATCTAAATAGTAAATTATTTGTAAAAAAATATTTTAAAAAATTAATAAATACACAAAAATATAAAAATATATTGAATTTTTGTATTTTTTTAATATTTTTTTGATATTTAGTGATTTTTTTATAGATTTTTTCACAAATATTATACTTTTTAATTGTATTTATGTTAGGCGTGTTTATAAATTAAAAAAATTTCTTAAAATATTAAAAAAATTCAGTGAAAATAAAAAAACAAATATGAAAAAGTAAAATATTCTGAAAAATAAATTTTGAAAACTAAAAATAAACAGAGTGATTATTATTATTATTACACCATTCACTTATAATATGAATCCTCATTTATAATTTTAAAAATTATAATTTGACTTGAAAATTTTAATTTCTAACCATAATCAATAATTTTTAATAATATTAAATTTATATTTTAATTAATAATTTAAATAATTTTATTATTGTATAGAAGAACAATTAAAAATTTAATCTTTTCAATTAATTGTATTAAATAAAAAAATTTACAAGAGGGTATTTGCAATTTTTTAAATTAGGCAATTCATATTTTAAATAAATCTTTAGAAGTATATTTATAATTTGCCCTTATTATTGTTATTAGAGTAAATTACAAATACACCCCCTAAGGTTTGCTTAAAGTACAGATTGTCTTATGTGGTTTAAAAAATTACAAATACCTCTTTGTTAGTATTTTTTTTATTTAACAGAATTAACTAAAAAAATGAAATTCATAATTGTTCTCCTATACAACAATAAAATTACCTAAATTATTAATTGTAAGATATTTCTAATATCATTAAAAACTGTTAATTGACTTGATAATTTATTAATAAAATAGGCGATTTGTTATGAAATTAGAAACCTTAAAAGGTGAAATGTAATTTTCAAAATTACAGGGGACGATTCGTATTTTAATCAGACTTCAGGAGGTATATTTGTAATTTACCCTTGTTATTGTTACTATTATTGTTGGAATAAATTACATGTTACCCAGTTTATATTTGGCTAATTTTTTACTTTGGTACTTGTATTTTTTTTTCATTTACTCTAGCTCTTTGGTCACGTTTATTTGACGGATTAAGTTGGATGAGATTATTAATAAAAGGATGGTCAGTGAAAAGATTGTTAATATAAGGATTGTTAGTGAAGGGGGGCTAAGTAAAAGTGTGTTTGTTATGATAATAGTGTGGAAGATGATTAGTGATAGAATTGTTAAATTATTTTTATATAAAATAAATAAAAAATTTATTTTATATTAAAAAAACTAAAACAAACATGTGCACTTGGTTAAAAAAATTATTTTTTTATTATATATAAAATAGACTCAATCCCCTCACTATTTTTCTAATTTTACTCAAAATCTAGCTAAGTTAATCTCCTTACGAAAGGGAATTACTAAGTCCCTCAAATTATTACTCCTTCCTCTCAAATCATCACCAAACAAACTATGGATAGGACCTACAGCCATCGCACTCCAATCCCCCCTCTCACGCCGGTAAACAAACATGACCATGTTTTAAATTTTTCTTAAATTTCTCTAAAAGTTAACTTTTAAAATTAGATAAAAAATGGTACATTGACAATCATGTACAAACCTAAATCATAATATAACAATATACTTTTTATGTCATGTGTATTTTTTGTCTAATTTTGAATAGAAATTAATTTTAAGGGTAAATTGAGAAAAATTTGAAACATGAAGACACCCAAAGTGTAAAAAAAAATAATAATAAAATAAAATAAAATAAGAGCTAAAGTGGAAAATAACTTAACATAAAAGGAGTAAAATGTAATTTACTGATATTATTTACACTATTATTATTATTATTATTGTTAGGGTTAAATTCACATTTATTTTCCCAAATTATAACCAATTTTTCTATTTATTTCATTTCTAAATTGAAAATTTTAGTAAAACATATATTTTCATATCTCAGTTATTTTTATAATTTAATAAATCTTATTATTTTGAAAATTTGATTTACTAAATCATAACTTCTTGATTCGTGCTCATCTTATGCGTTAATTTCAATTATTTTTGCCTTTTTTATATATTAAATTTTAATTCAACTTTTGTAGTACATTTTTTTAAAAATAAAATTTATATTTGTAAAACCTATTTAATGAGATCTATCAAATAGAATCTCAATTCAATACTGTATATAATTAGGTAAGATAAAATTATATATAAATTTGACAATATTAATAATCACACTAAAATTATAAGTTAGATTACAACTAAAGAAATCACCGCCGCTCTATCAACTCGAATATCTGACCTCTCCTCACCACGCTCTAAAGTGTGACTACAAACAAAACCACTGGGCCAAACCCAAGGTCCAATGTGACATAATTTCGCATATTCAATTTTGTGAAAATTTCTGACTAATTGTTGCAAAAATGTGCAAAAGAAATCACCTGATTAAGAATTACAGCTAAATATTTGAATTTGAAGATTAGCCGATACTGTGTTCACTTGGCAAAACATACATCCTATCTATGATTTTAGCTATTATATAATTATATCCATGCACATACATGCAAGCAATAATAATACAAGAATAATGTTCGGAACCCCTTTTGGGGAGACCCCACCACCCCCACAGTGATGTAGACCAATGATGTGTTTGTATTATTTTTTTTTTTTTCCTCTTTCTTACTTGAACCAATCACAAGTGAGTGAGGGTTGTAGAGGTGATTTTTATGGGTATTTGAATCATTACTGTTACAAAAAAATCTATAAACAACAGCAGCACATAGCGAAGGTGTTGCATAAAAACCGAAACACAGTGCCCCACAGGAAAGACGCTGCTGCCGCGCTCCAACTCAAGAGCCTCTTAAAAGAATCTGCTGTTCACTCCAGCTCTGTATAGATGTAAATGTGATGTGGTTGTCACCTTAACATCGGTATTCGCAGGGGCAAATAGAACATCACCCTCCCTTACTAAATCTTCAAAGGATGTTGAAGAATGCATCGTTCCCTCTCCTTCCATGACCATGAAAACAGAGGGGCCAGGGACCGCTGGAAAAGCAGCCGAGGCCCCCTTGGGAAGAATGCAGCGATCAACTTCGAATTCTTCGAAAGGCGGGAGGTACCTTTTTGTATAAGGATTTAAAGGAACTCCTTGCAAAATTTCAGGAAAGCCCTGCAACAGAGACCGAGTTAAATGGAAAGACAGCAAAGAACATATTGACTAGAAGACAATAAGGCGGTGTGTGTTTGAATCATGGATTTCATTCACATTTCACCTAATTTTTCCCTTTTTCTCTCGAAATTACTATCCAAATCTATGATCCAAATACAGCCTAAATGAGACTTCAACTAGAATAAAGCAAAAAAAAAATTGTATCATCAATACAAGATGGCAATAAAAAGAGACAAATGCAAAGTCTACTTCTGAAAGTGTTAATAAGAGCAATGTCATTTCATTCCCTATATCAGTATGGCACAACTGCCTGCTTGAGATCTAAATACCCAAATACAAGCAGGCAGTTGCTTACTTTTTATATCATAGTTGTCTGCTACAGTCTGCTTACTTCTCAAGGATAGTATAAAAGTTGTGTATTTAAGAATTTGTTGGCTTGTTGCAGCTACATGCGCACACAAAACCTGTGGCAATCTAGTTAGATTCGTTAACACTCTGTGCACTAAATTGCTAATGGGAATAAATAAAGCAAGGAGTACCAACATCCTAGGTTTCAACTTCATCTTCAAACTAGATATCTTAGGAACTGAGAAATATCTGTATGGATCAAATTTTCACAACAAGAACTCGCGACGAGAAATAACTTCATCAGTGTAAGAACCGCTTATGCAGATGTATAGAGAGAAGTGTAAAAACTGGTGAAATCCTGACCCCTCCCTAGTATGGGGCATCCGTACACTAGCATAAACCTCCAAGATTCTCAATGCATAATGAACAAATACACAGAAGAAGAATTACTAGTCCTATCAAAATCCAAAAGTAACAATTTTTTCATTGATTAACAATCCAAACAATAAATATACAAGAAACACTCAAGAATTTAATTTCTAGATGCCAAAAACTTGAAGCCCTGCCACACCAACAATGTGGAAGGGCATCTAGTTTCTAGCATCGTATAACGTAAAGTGTACTTGGATATTGCAGGCTTCGAAGAACTATGGGCCTTATGGACATCAATCACTAGAAAAGGTATAAATAAAATAAAGACGAATAAGAAACAACAAACAACAAACAAACAGATGATTTTCATGGAATTTGAAAATTATCTTCACCTGATGGTATGTGAGCATTGAACAAAGAATTTGTACATCCCGGTCCTTTGGAGTAAGGCCAGCGCGTACAACATTGTCTGAAGTTGCCATGCATTCAATACACTCACCATGTATATAGGCATGAAGTTCATTTGCCCCTAGATACAATGCTTCACCTGGATTAAGCTTCACGTAGTTAAATAGGAATGTTGCTAGGACACCCACATCAGCTGGATACTGCTTTTCTAGCAGCAATACTAGTTGTTCCTTTTCTGTCAACTGCCTCACCTGTTGCAAAGTGAAAAACTCAAAGCTAACATAAGCAGCATATGTTTTTTCAATCATCTTGAGGTTTAGTTTTTTAAATAAAAAATGCAACAAAAGTTAGTCACATGAATATATGTTGGTTATGTGCTGAAGAGGGGAAAAACGAAGGGATCTATTTCAAAGGACAGTCATAAAAGTAAAATCACCCCAAAGGGATAGCAGCATTAAGCTTTCCAGACATTATCTTGTCCATAAGAAATAACAATAATACATTCCAATCTACCTCGCTTTCCATGTTGAGCCTACTGTTCAATTTGGATACAGCTCCGGAAATCACGTCCTTGCTAGCAGACATGAGATGAGTGAATATTGACCGCAGAACTGCTTTTACTTTCTCTGCCCCATCTTTGTTATTGATGTGTAACACTTGATTAACACATTCACTGCCAACCACTTCTGCAATCTCAGGAACATTTTGAAGAACATCCATAAACTCCTGGAATCAATGGCAAGTAAATCTCATTGATATTGCAAGGGTATCCAAGGTACGCAAACACAAATTAGGTTCAGAAATACTCATCGTGTCATATTGAATGTCTTCTGTCATTTCTACATGTATAAATGGGATATCCAGCATCTATTCACTAGAGAAGATAGGAAATAAAACATATGTAGCAAGGATAGATGACACCAAGCCACCATGCAAAGTTTTTTTTTTATACAAAAATATAGAAAAATACATATTAAAACTTCCATGCCTGAACCTGAAAAATATTTTAGGCTTTTCAGCAGAATGCAGTCATTTAGAATTAAAGAACAGAAGCCCATTAAAACTTTCACACCAGAACCTGAACATGCACCTTGAGCATTTGCGGGGACCTCACCTTCTTCCCCAAGGTTTACCCTGGTCACTATGATCTAAATCACTAAAAACTTCAGTAGACACCCAGTCAGTAAGTAGTGCTCCTTTTCACATCATACAAGGTGTATAATTCCTCACAACATTAACTTGCATGAAAGTTGTCAGAAGAAATATTTTTCATTTAACAGGGCAACAATGAATATGTTCATCTATAAATACATATGTAAAATGCACATGGTTTGCACGATATTGGTAGCAATGCAACTTATATTGTCAAAGTCTCCATTGCCAGTATACAACAATGCAAGGATCTAAGAACATATTAGAACACGTTTCCAAAAAAAATAATAGCAATTAAGAAATCATTTAGGCATTTAGCTAAACAAAATATTAAACATGGAAACCAATAACATCTTGGCATGTTAACATCAAAAGGGAATGATTGGTGAAAAAGTTTCTGGTGAGAAATAAAATCAGTCAGATAAATCATTAGCATAACCAACTATATATAAACCTATTACAGGAAAGGAAACCTTTACAAACACTGTTTGACTTGATGTGTCACTAGAGTGATAATTCAGCTCCTTGATCAGGTAACTGGTAGTTCACTCGGGTTCATCTACATTGAGCAGGCTGTCAACAAACCCTAAGCCTTTAAAGATCACACAGGCTTCGGAAAAATTACATATCAACACAACCCTGCTCTCAAGAAGATAACCCTTTGTCTAGCCTTCCACCAAAGTAGAAACATATGCAACTTGCAGCTTGCCAAGAGAAATGCTAATAACCATTACCGCAACTCTATAGCCTTGACATACTGCGCTGATAGCACTAGAAAGCCACACCAGACAGATTTCTCTAGCCAGAATCGACCTTCTCGCCAGAAGTGCAATCCCACAAGGAGATTCACTCCACTGCAGCCCCAATTCATTAAAGCCAGCCACAAGGACTGCAATGATTCCATAGTAGATCTTATTCTAAACATTCTGTAAGCATGATTTATATGGAAGTGCACTCAAAGATCAATAACAGGCTTTGGGAGAAATCCAGGAGCAGCATATTAAAATGCAGACCAACGGTTAGGTATTTTCCTACATTAGCTGGACCACATCACACATGCATCAGAAGAATTTTGAAAGGACCCAAAGGTTGCCTGCAAATCCTACTATAAAATAGGAATAGAGGTTTGATAATAAAATCAACAATGGTGTCAAGATTCAGATAATTCTCTACATGGTTAGAGCTCAATCATCAAATGAAAAGGATATCTAAGGACATGCACTAGTACCCATTTAAAACAAGAAATTGCACAGAAACATCAGCACTACATCAACCATGAAGAGTGAAACGGTAGCCATAATAATTTAGCCCTGTAACTGTGCCCTAGATTCACAGGCTGGGCAAACCTGACACCTAAGAGAACACCAAATTTGAAGAGAGGTGTAACTTGGGAATAAGGCTGGGCATGCGAATTTGAGTCCAAATAACTTTGGAAGAAGTTAAGAAATTAAGACACGGAGGATTAAGATGTAATCCCTCCATTTCAAGAAGATGTATGAAACAAAGAAATCACTGTAGCTACCACCTAGATATTACACATCCATCCACCAGACATTGGTTCTCCAGCAATTACATCCAACTACTTCTGAACAAGTCATACAATTTATTGCAAGTTTGCAACCCAATCAAAAAACATTTTGAACAAACAGTTCGAAATCTCCTAAACCAATAATCAGCATTTATTCATTAAGTAAAAAGATCAAAAAATATATATATATAGTTCCATTCACTCGTACTACACTCAAGCCTTAACCCCAGTTAAATAAAAGACTAATCAATCCCAATTAAGCGATCCCAGAAATGAAGATAAGCACATTACCTCAAGACTTATAAACCCACAGAGGGCCTCGAACTCTGTTAATGCCAAAGCCATCTCAGGCTTGTGATTGCCATCCTTGAAGACATCAGGCCTCGCCTTATGGAGAATCCCAGCCAATTCCTTGTCAGGGTGAGCCTGAATCGACAATACCTTTGCAACTGAAAGTACCTAACACACCCCAAAACAATCTCAACAATTTCAAATCAAGCAAGATCATCCACCAAAAAGAAAAACCAATAAAAATCATACCTTGAACAAGAAAGGAAGATTAACGCCCCACTTCTGAACAACCTTATCGCCAAGAACATTGGGGTTTTTGGCAATCCACGAGTTCAAACTCAAACCCCCATTCTCAAGCACGAAAGAGGGTCCAGACTCGTGAGTGCCCATCCAAAACTCAGCATAAGGCTTGCCTTCCTCAATGTGGAGCCCCGAATTACGCGAGAACAACCTCGAAACCCTTGATTCGCAGCCAATTCGACCCCAATCGTAGTTCTTGACCGAACATCTCAGTCTCTGAAGGGTCCTGCGCCGATTGGACGAACCATTAGACTCCATCAACATTGCAATTGAGAGAGAGAGAAAAGAGAAACCCTAGAGAGAGAAAGTGGTGGAATTCTTTGCAAAGGAGTGTGGATCCTCCATTGCAAAGAACTCTGGGCTGGGGGAGGGGGGGGCTTTAAGGGACACCGACAAGAGAGGGAAAAGAAGAGGAGATAGTTGCGAGGAAGGGTAACAGTTTGAATATTTTTTTGTTTTGTTTTGTTTTGTTTTGGAGTTATCGTTGGATTTGGGAGACTTGTCGATGATGGTAAAGTATGAGTGAAGAGGGCTTTGGAGACTCGCTGATGCGTCATTTTCACTACCAAGTATTTTTTTTTTAAAGTTTTTTAAAGTGGTATATTGTGTGGTTAAGATTTAATGTTAAAAAATTGATGTGACTTGTCATTAAATCTCAACTACACAATACACTCCTTTATAAAATTTTAAGAAAAAAAAATTCTAGAGGATCTTTGCTCCATTTTCATGCCCAAACCCACTCACTAGTAGTGCAATTTGTGCGGATTTAACGCAAGGAACCTGAGTTTAGTCTGAATTTTTTTAGGCTTTGATAAAAAAAATTTAAATTTGGTATAAATTTGAGTAAAAATTTAAAAATTTAAATTAAATTTGAATAAATTTGGGCAAAGATGTTAAATAATTCGAGTAATTTGAAGTCCGAATTATACATATATAGATATATAAAAATATTAAATATACATATAAATTATTAGTCATTACATGATATTAAAGTAATTTATATTATTAAATCATATTGAATATATATTATATATACAAATAACATAAAATCTTACTTTTTTTTCTTTTTATTTTCACTCATAAATTGTAAGAACTATTATTATAATAGTAGCTCTCTTACATTATATAAATTATTTCTTTTGATGGTATTAATAATTTTTTATAAAAAAAATTATGAATAGAGTCGAATTTTAATAATTTAATAATATAGTTGCAAAAAAAAAAAATTAAAATTCATTTACAATTCGGACAACTCAGGTTTAACACGGGTCGAGTTTAGACAGACAATCCCAAATTATAATTTAGGCTTGGACGAACTTGAACTGGTCTTAACACAACTTAAACTAAACTTTAATAATCTCTCAATTCGACTGAATCCGCCCAAGTCACCCCACTGGCGCTCACCACGTCCCATTGCAAATGCGTGAGAAAGATAGATACAGCCTCTACAGGGCGGTGGAGCTCTTCGTCAGTACATCTTGTTATGTATGCGCTTTTTTTCTCTTTTTATTTAAGCCTCTGTTTGGCAAGTTGGTTCTTGGGCTTTTTTGGCTATTTTAGCCACAAAAGACAAAATAGGCTATTTTAGCCATAACAAACAAAACATCACATCCAACCAATAATATAGTTGCAAAAAAAAAAAATTAAAATTCATTTACAATTCGGACAACTCAGATTTAACACGGGTCGAGTTTAGACAGACAATCCCAAATTATAATTTAGGCTTGGACGGACTTGAACTGGTCTTAACACAACTTAAACTAAACTTTAATAATCTCTCAATTCCACTGAATCCGCCCAAGTCACACCACTGGCGCTCACCACGTCCCATTGCAAATGCGTGAGAAAGATAGATACAGCCTCTACAGGGCGGTGGAGCTCTTGGTCAGTACATCTTGTTATGTATGCGCTTTTTTTCTCTTTTTATTTAAATTTATTTTCAGTGGTTTGACGGTTGTGTTTGTTTGGATCCGCATCAATTGTTTTTTCCTTTTGCATTATGGATCTTGGTGTCTTACATACGGTTGGTTTGGATGAAAAATATTTTTTTTATATATATATATATATATATTCTTATGTTTGGTGGAGAAAAAATAAAGGTGGTGATGGCATGGCAGTGAGGCAGCACGACAGTGATAGTAATAGTGATAGTAAAAATGGTCGTGATTATAACAGTGGAGGTGAAAGTATCACTAATAGTGTAATGATATTGATAAAATTTTAATTTTAAAAATATTTTTTACTTTTTAAAAATAAAAAATATTTATATTTATATAGACTTATTTTCTGTTAACCTTAACAAATATTTTCCGTTGACCTTAGAGAATATTTTCCGTTAATTACTATTTTATTGTCCCAAATATTAAAAATATATATAAAATATTTTTTAAAAAAAATTTCTATCCAAACAAAGGAAAATTAAATTTGTGTACCAATTTTTGGATATGTTATTAATGCATAATGTACTTATCTAACGGGCCAATTAATTTTGTCTTTTATAGTCATTTCTTTTTCTCACCTAATTAATTTTTAAGATATATTCTCTCTTGTTAAGATCTTAACTTGAGAACTTTAAAGTCAAGTTTGGCAATTTTAGAAAAATATAAAAAGTAAAAAAATTATTTAAAAAGTTAAAAAATTGTCACTATTCATCAAAAAAAATATTAAAAAATTAATATATAAATATGAATACAAATCAAACATCCAGCCCAAATGATGATTGACGTGATGCTGTCAGTCGCTGACAGTAATAAAAAAAAAAATTGTAGTAGAATATTAACTAAATTACATCGTAAATTGGACCAGTGGGGGCCTACCACGGGTCCCGTTTCATTAGTCTAAACCGTTCAATATATAGAACTCGTCTAGTATTATATGCCTGTACAAAATCACTTCTATCGAATATCGCTAACTATATGATCAAATCAGTTTTGTATAAAAATAGATAGTGTTATTTAGGGCAGTTAACAAGAAAAACTAACACGATCAAATAACTATCGATATCCAATCAATGTGATTTTTAACAAACATATAGTACTCGACGATTTCTATACATTGAACGTTCCGATTAGAAAAACGGGACCCGTGGTGGGCCCTCACGAGCCAGACAACACCATCCAATCAAAGACCACAAGCTAGACAATATTTCCTCATCTACTCACCCAGCCGGTCCACTGCCAATCCGTACCATCTCCTTATCTTATCTTCTCCTACACACTTATTAATATAAATTTTTAATGCGCATTTTTTCATAAAAAGTCAAAAACTTAATCTAAACATCCATATTTTTTCCTTCAACTTTTTAGTTCAAAAAGATAAAAAGTGCACTTATTTAGGACACCTCAAACAACCCCTAAGAACTCATAGGGCAGGTCTCGTTTCGATAATTTGAATCATTCATTTTGTAGGATCATTAATGTATATCATCCGTAAAAAAAATAGGTCAATTTGAAAATTATAACCTTTTCATTTTATCAAATGTATGGTGTATTTTAAAATTATATTTGTCGTCCATTTTTTTTTATAGACAAATGTGATAAAATAAAAAAGTTACACTTATTAGATCAAACTAAATTTTTTTATGAATAATATACATTAAAGGCCTTACAAAATGAATAATTCAAATTATTGAAATATGACCCATTGTAGGCCTTATAAACTCCTCAAATTCTCTTATATTAAGATTGCAACATAAGTGAATCTTAATCCATGTTATTGGCCCGTTTGTTAGAGCTGTAGGAAAGTAATTATAACTTGTAGCCTAATAACTTATAACTTATAACTGTGAACATAAACTGATTTTTGACTTATAAATTAAACTTCTCCTCTCTCACTCAAAGAATAAGTTGATTTTTTACTTACAAAAAATTATAAACTGTATTGTTAAACTGAACCAAACACATCAAAATAACTTAAATTAACTAAAAACCGAAATAAATTGAAAATAAACCTTACCAAACAGGGTCATTAAACCCTTCACATTTCATACTCTCTTTTTTTTTTTTTTAAGTATTATTACACCCTTAAATTAAATTATTGGAAAGAACAAACTTTAAAATCATAAAGCATTACATATTTTAGTTTTAGTTGTCAATACTGCCATCACCAGTAACAACCGCCTTTACACCTCCGCTCATGTTAAGGCACTCATACTTTATGGATTGATAGAGAGTCAGATTGTAAAAATTATATTCAAGCATGTATGTGAATTAAATTTATGAATTTTTTTTACCAACCGGAATAAGTCAACCTAGCGCCAAAATTACGGCCAAGCAACTCCTTGGTTTTGGTTTAGATGAGCTAACGGGCTCCAATTTGAGCCTACTTTTGTCACCTTTTTTCTTTTTTTTTTTGCTGAGGTTGGAAGTGGGTTGACTTTTTAATTTTTTAATTTTTTTTGTTATTTTAGTCTGGACCAAAAAACTTAGTTTGGAAATGATTTTTTAGGAATTGTATGGGATGACCTAAATAAATTTATTTTTTATCTTTTTACGAAAAGATGTGCAGAAAAGTAGAGAGGTGATGTGATGGAAAAAAATACTATAAAAAGATGGATTATTTTTTGATTGCCAAACTTGACCTTAGTTTTTTTTACTTTTTAAACTTTTTTTGTGAGAAAATAGTGTAATAATTATAGTTTTAATGTGATGTTTTATTTGTTGTAATTAAAATAATCTATTTTATTTTTTTTTATACTCCCTCCGTCCCAAAATAATGGTCCTTTTTGGGGAATCCAACTTTTTTTGGTAGTACAATTATTGTACTTTTAAAAAGTTGGTTTTCCAAAATTACCCTTTGATAGTACACTTTTTTGAGAATATCAATGTCATAATTGTACTTTTTATATTATTTATGAATTTAAAAGAAGGGCAAAATGGGAAATTTATATTATTTTGTACTTGATTTTTGAAGAGGGACTAATATTTTGGGACAATGAAAAATGGAATAAGGGACTAATATTATGGGACGGAAGGAGTAGCTAAAATAGTCACAAATCAACTCATCAAACGAACCCTTACCCTAACTCTTCATACTAGCTTCAATAGCTGGACTTAGGTCTAACCTAACCCTTATTCAAGTTAAGCCACCCTATGCAGGGTGTGGGCACGGATTGAGTAAAACTTTGTAGTTATTTGGCATGTATTAAAATAATACAGGTTATTTTAGCATATCATTTTATTTGAGTTACAATTATCTTATTTAGATCACATTATTTTTTATTCGAGTCACATCATCTCTTTGTGATATCACTTCAAACCCAACTCATATTTTATATTTTTTCATAAAAAATCAAAAAGCAAACGAATTTAGCACTTTCCAAACAACCCCTTTGTTTAACTGGAATTTTTTTTTTTTTTTTTGGGAGGTGTCTAAATGATGATCTTTATGTTATTTTTTATTATATATATTAATTATAAAAAATTATTGAAGTAGAGATTGAAACTTTTAAACACTTGAGGTTCAATTATAGCAGC